TTAGGCGGGGGAAGGAAGCAGAAGTAAACAAGCAAAAAGGAGACTTTGGAAATGGATCATAGCTGTGCTTTTGGCTGCAAGTAACAGTGTCAGCACAGGTTTAAGCAGTCAGGTCATGCGGTGGATCCAGCAGCTCAGCCGTGAAATCAAACTCCGCCAGGGGAGGGCAACCACAGACGCTGAGCCAGAACCAACTCTGCACACAGGGAAGAGAGCACATCCCTCCCTTCCTTGGGTTCCCTTTTTAAAATTTATTATTGATTTGAGAGAGAGAGAGAGAGAGAGAGAGAGAGAGAGAGAGAGAGAGAAAGAAAGATGGTTGAGCCAGCAACTCCCGGCATGTACCCAGACGAGGAATCGAACTGTGACCTTCTGGTTCATAGGTCCACGCTCAGTCCCTGAGCCACACCAGCCGGGCGCTTGTGTCCCCTTTTAAGAGTGAGGACAGCTTGTAGCAGTCCCCAGCAGCACGCCCCGCATGCCCCAAGGGCCAGAGCTGTGGGCCATGCTTATTTCTAACCGGATCCCTGGGAATCACAGGGACGGGGAATGGCCACAGGACTGGGGGAAACCAGTGCGTTCCGAGAGTTGGCTGCTGCAGTTCTGTTTGCCGGGAAAAGCAGAGGAAGCAGAAAAGACTGCTGGGTGGGCAGACCACCACAGAGCGGCATGAAGAAAACAAAGCAGGGCCAGCTCCTAGCCTGGGAGGGGCAGCTGTGGCCATGGTGTCAGGTGGGTGGCAGGGAGGCCCCGCGGAGGAGGCTGCTGGGGCCGAGGTCTGGAGCCCAGGCCACGGCGTGGCGACGGGCGGGCTCTGCTGCGGGAAACTGGTGGAGGGGGTCCGGAACCTCCGGCCGCTGCGTGGAGGTGAGAGGAGGCCGGATTGGAAGCGTGGAAAGCACGTAGAGACCCTAAGGCAAGGTGGAGTGGTCTCGGCCGGGGCTCGGGATGCGTTTAGGTCATTAGGTGACCAGACGTCCCGCTTCTGAACAATTCGTCCCGCAGAGTTTTAAAAAAAGTCCCGATTTTTTTAAAAAACACCGCGGGACGTGGGACAAATTGTTAAAAATCGAGACTGTCCCGCCAAAAGCGGGACATCTGGTCATCTTAGTTTAGGCGCCAACTTGTTGATGGGTAGCACTTCTTGGGGAGGGGTGGTGAGGAAGGATGGATCAAGGCTGGCCTGGGAGGTTTGGGCTCGAGCAGCTGAGTGGATGTCATGAACTCAGATGGGGAGAGGGGCAGATTGGGGGGTGGAGGGGCTGACTGCATGGAGCATGGTTGTGTCTGAGGCAGTAGTGCTGTGTTCTGAGGGGCTGGCCGGGAGGGCAAGGTGGAGGGCAGTGGCAGGAGGTTTCACAGAGGGGCTCCATTTGAGCAAAGTACATGTTCGAGGGGAGGAGGGAGGAGGGGAGGAGGCGAGAGTGGAGTTGGAAGCAGTTGGGGCGTTGTGGTTACGGGAAAGGGCTCCCGCATCGGTGACCCAGAACTTACACCCTGACTCCGCCTCCTCTGTCACCCTGAGCAAGTCACTTTCCCTAGTTTCCTCACTCTGTGAAATGGGATGAAAAATGCCTACCCCCCTGTGTCTGTTAAGTGAGAAAATGTAAGTTAAGCATTTGGTAACTAAGCAGCTGCTATTTCATGAACACTCAGGCTCCACCCTCAATCACACGTTAAGCTTGATGTCTCCAGAAATGAAAGACGCTGGCTTAACAGGGTCGGGTGGTATTAGTTGTCTATTGCCACATGACAAATTACCCTGGAATATAACAGCTTAAAACAAACGGGAGCTTTTAGACTAGTGCTGCTGAGACAGACACAGAACCGAAACTGCTTGTGGCCATTCACATTCCACCCAACGTGCTCTGTGGGCAGGAGCCTGGCAGCCACAGCGGGCGGCCCAGGGGAGTCTTCAAATGTAAGAGCAGAGTCGGGTGAGGGTTTCGTGTGCCTTAGTCCTCTCAGCCAAGCCCCAACCTCGCATCCTCACAGTGTTCTCTACTAGTGGTCCCTGGAGTATCTGATTTCTAATTATCGGGGTGGGGGGAGAGAGAGGACGCTGTAAAAATAAAATAGATTCTTGATGGTCAGAATTGGCTTCACTGGAAGTAAGGCCTTGGAACTTGAATTTTTTTCTAAAGTAAGTTTGTTTAGAATAGTTTTTAGATTTACAGAAAATGGTACAGAATTTTCCCAAAATCCCCACACACAATCTCCCCCATTATTAACATCTTCCTTTAGCATGGTATGTCTATTTTAATATATTATATTAACTAAAGTCCATACTTTATTCGATTTCCTTAGTTTTTACAGCATGTCCCTCTTCTGTTCCAGGACTCCACTCAGGACCCCACATACATTTGGTAGTCATGCTTGCTTAGGCTCCTCATGGCTATGACAGTTTCTCAGACTTTTTATTTTTTAATTTTTTTAAAAATATATTTTATTGATTTTTTACAGAGAGGAAGGGAGAGAGATAGAGAGCTAGAAACGTCAATGAGAGAGAAACATCGACCAGCTGCCTCTTGCACACCCCCTACCGGGGATGTGCCCGCAACCAATGTACATGCCCTTGACTGGAATCGAACCTGGAACCTTTCAGTCCGCAGACCGACGCTCTACCGATGAGCCAAACTGGTTTTAGCTCAGACTTTTTATTTTTGAGGACAGTCCTGAGGACTTCTGGTCAGGTATTTTGGAAAATGTATGTCAACTGGCATTTGTATATTTTTCTCATGATTGGACTGGATGAAAACCGCAGAAGTGAAGTGCCATTTTCATCACATTTTACTAAGAGTGTGTGCTGTCAGTGTGACTTCCTCTGTTGATGTTAACCTCAGTCACCTGGCTGACAGTTTTTGTCAGGCTTCTCCTCTGTAAACTCAGTCCTCTTCCCTTCCGTGTCATACTCTGTGGGAGGAAAATGCTCAGTCCATATTTAACGAGTGGAGAGTTATGCCCACCTCCTTGAGAGCAGAGTGCCTACACAAATTATTTGGAATTCTCCTGCCTGGAATATTTGTCTCTTCTTTCCCATTTATTCATTTATATCAGGATGGGCTCATGGATATTTTATACCTCAGATTATATCCAATACTACTTTATTTTGTTGCCTGAATTGTTCAGCATTGGCCATTGGGAGCTCTGTCAGTTGTTTCCTGTGTCTCTTTGACATACCCTATGTATATGTGTGTGTGTGTGTGTGTGTGTGTGTGAGAGAGAGAGAGACAGAGAGAGAGAGAGAGACAGAGAGACAGAGAGACAGAGACAGAGGCATATATTCCTTTCTGTTACATACTATTATACAAGATAGAGTCATTTATTCAAGGAGCCTTGGTTCCTTTTATTGGAGAATGGCATTAAAAATTATGATCTGGCCAAAACCGGTTTGGCTTGGTGGATAGAACGTTGGCCTGCAGACTCAAGGGTCCCAGGTTCGATTCCAGTCAGGGGCATGTACATTGGTTGCAGGCACATCCCCGGTGAGGGGTGTACAGGAGACAGCTGGTCGATGTTTCTCTCTCATTGATGTTTCTAGCTCTCTATCCTTCTCCCTTACTCTTTGTAAAAATCAATAAAATATTTTTTTAAAAAAAACTATGATCTGGCTTACTGGGTTTGGCTCAATGGATAGAGCATCAGCTTGCAGACTAAAGGGTCTCAGGTTTGATTCTGGTCAAGGGCATATGCCTGGATTGTGGGCTCAATCCCCAGTAGGAGGCGTGCAGGAGGCAACCAATCAATGATTCTCATCATTGATGTTTCATCTATCCTTCTCCTTCTCTGAAATCAATAAAATATATATCTAAGATAGATAAAAGAAAAACTATAATCTAGGCCCTGGCCAGTTGTTCAGTGGTTAGAGTGTCAGCCTATGGACTGAAGGGTCGCAGGTTCGATTCCTCGTTAAGGGCACGTACTTCAGTTGCAGGTTCAATCCCTAGCCCCAATTGGGTCTGCAAGCAGGAGGCAACCAATCCAGTGTGTCTCTCAGGTGGACCTCTCCTCTCTTCCCTCCCCTCTCAATCTCAACCTATGAACCAGGAGGTCACGGTTCGGTTCCTGGTCAGGACACATCCCCGGGATTGTGGGCTCCATTCCCAGTAGGGTGCATGCAGGAGACAGCCAATCAATGATTTTCATCATTGATGCTTCCATCTCTCTCTCTCTCTGAAATCAATAAAAATATTTTTTAAATCAATGGAAAAAATATCCTCACTCGGGTTTTAAAAACACCCTGGATACAGGTGTGCTCAAATCTGAATGTTTAACACTCTCCCACTTTTGATTTTGTAATGAAGCCAGAGTTAGAGAACAGCTTCTCTCTCAGCTGTTTCCCTTCTCAAGCGCTTCCCTCGCCTTCCCAAATTAGTTTCAGCATCCCTCGGCAGAGGGCGCAAGAGAGGTTTCCTTCCTCCGTAGGAAAGAGAGCGGCTCCGGTTAAGGAACGGAGGCGGAGTTTCGCACAAGGGAACTGTCAAACTCGGGAGTGGGAGGGAAGTGTTTACTCAAAGGGGCTAGGAGGGGTCACGTGAGAGTCAGCAGTCAGCTGACTGGAGCCCGCAGGGAGGGAAGAACCCGAGTAGCGGGGCTGCTGATTGGTAGAGGAGGATCCAGAAAGGTTGCACTTCGGGGCGGGTCTTTGACGGCGAGGTCTACGATTGGCTTAGGAAGAATCACCACGGTGTTTTGCGGCGCAAGCGGAAAAGACTGAGGTGCGCCACGGTATGCGCTTGCGTCGAAGTACCTGGTCGCCGATTGGAGGCCGTGAGTCACGGGGCGGCGTAGGGGCGGGGCCGGCGGGCGCGCGCAGCGCTGCGGGGCCTCTGGTTGGCCAGCGCGCGTCACGTGGTGCCGGGGAGCCGGCGGCGCGCGCCCGAGCGACGTCACCGCAGCCCGCCGCGCCGAGCTCCCCTGACCTGTGTACCCGGCCGGCCCCGGCTGAGTCCTGCGAGGGGCCTCGGTCGGGCGGTTTGCTGGCCACCTTCGCGGCCACCATGGACAACTCCGGGAAGGAAGCGGAGGCGATGGCGCTGCTGGCCGAGGCCGACCGCAAAGTGAAGAACTCGCAGTCCTTCTTCTCGGGCCTCTTCGGGTAAGAACCGCCCCGAGGGTCGGCCGGTTCCTAGGCTGGGAGAGAGGCCCGAGGAGTTATGGCCGGAGGCGGCGGGGGAGGGACGGAGGGGATTTCGGGATGAGGTGCCGGGGGCTAAGTCAGCTGAGGGGGACACAGTCTGGGGGCCAGGGGGCCCGGGTGGTGTCCACACCGTCTGAGGAGTGACGCTCTGAGATGGCGGAAGGGCCCCGGGCCGAAGACGCCTAGGCCTGGCGACATCACCATGAGGCTGGAAGGGGACCCCCGGCTAAAGGCGGACCAAGGGGCCGGAGGATGTGGTCTGAGGCCCGGAAGGGGACCGGCCCGAGGGGATTGAAGGAGCCTGGGAGCAGCCAGGACAAGAAGGAAGCCTTTGGCAGCTGTAGGAGAACCTGTCTGAAGGGTCCCCGGCGGGCGAGATGGGGCTTGGGGCTGAGGACACCTGCCCTAGCGATTGGCCTTCCCAAGGCCCGCGGCAGGCAGTGGGTTTGCATGGTGTCGGGTGCGGGGGTCTGGGCTCGGGTGGTCCTGTGAGTGATGAGTTCAGGTGTGTAGGTGCATGGTGGCCAGTGTGTAGGGGGTCTCACCCTCGAGTGAGCTCTGAGCAGAGGGATCCTGGGCGGTGGAGTTGGAGGGAAGCCCTGGGCGGAGAGGCTGGAGAAGGCCGTCTGGTGGGCCCTGCGTGAGGCTGACTTTGTGCCGGAGCCGGAGGGAGAGGAGAAACCGGAAGGGGGCGGAGGGGATCGGTGAGCCGTGGCCGGGGCTGAGAGCAGGATGGCCTGGTGTGCGGAAACGGGGGCTTGGTCTGGACGGGGCTGGGGCTGCAGTGGGGTAGACGACGTTTCGTGTTGGCTCGTAAAAGTGATGGCCAGCCCCTGAGGGATCTTCGTGGCTTAAGAGTGTCAGATGCCCCGATTGGAAGCGTGGCCCCGCCACTTACTCGGTGAGCCCAGGTGATCAAAGGGGATCGCCGGTAAAGCTTGTCTATAAAAGTGCACGTAAAGTGTTTGGAATTGAACCTGGCGCACGGTTAGCTTGAAAGGTGTGAGCTGTCACCAGTGTTACTTCCGGGAAGGAAACCGGTTGGGAACCTGCCCTGGGCGGGGCGGTGGGGGTGGGGTGGGGAGCCTGGGAGGGTCCGAGCGGGAGAAGCTGAGTGAGGGGAGAGGAGCCGAAAGGCAGTGAGAGAGAGGGGCAGGGCGGGGGTCCTGGCGGGAAGAAGAGAGCCCGGGAGGGCAGGGGAGGGTTGGGTTGCCCTGAGGCCTGAGAGGACTGGGGAGGGAGGGCCGTGGGTTTGTAGAGTTAGGAGAGTGTGGTGGAGGCCAGGACGGATTCCGGGAGCAGAGAGAGGCTGAGACGGGAAGGCTGCAGGACTCCGGGAGCCTGCCAGAGGCTAGCACTGGGTTTGAGAGGAGGCGCTGGGACAGACGGTGTTAGGAGGTAAGAAGTGAAGGGGTTGCCAAAACCGGTTTGGTTCAGTCGATAGAGCGTCGGCCTGCGGACTGAAGGGTCCCAGGTTCGATTCCCGTCAAGGGCATGCACCTTGGTTGCGGGCACATCCCCAGTGGGGGTGTGCAAGAGGCAGCTGGTCGATGTTTCTAACTATCCCTTTCCCTTCCTCTCTGTAAAAAATCAACGAAATATTTTTATTTTTTTTTTCAAAAAGGAAGAAAATGAAGGGGAACCCGGTCAGTATGGCTCAGTGGTTGAATGTCGACCTGTGAACCAAGAGGTCAGGGTTCAATTCCCAGGTTTTGGGCTCGATCCCCCGTGGGGGACGTGCAGGAGGCAGCCATCAATGATTCTCATTCATCATTGACGTTTCTGTCTCTCTCTCTCTCCCTCTCGCTTCCTCTCTGAAAGCAATAAAAATATATCTTAACAAAATAAATGACGGAGAGGGTTCTTTCCAGGAGAGGAGCTGGACCGCCCATTGTTATTTGAGGTTGATAATGTTTAGTGAAAGGCCTTTATACCGTGGCTGAGAAGCACTGGCGTGAGGAACATCAGCTGATGTGTTGATGAGTGAGACTGTTCTAGAGGCGGGCGGGGAGGGAGGATAGGAGTGTGCTTTGCCTTCACAGGGGAGAGTCACGGGCAGTGTTGCGGGGCGGGGCCAGGAGCTCGGTTTTCGGCTCACCGTTTCCTGGGTGGCTCTTGGTGTCTGATCCCTTTGGACTGAGGATCAGTGTACTTGCTGCTGGGTGGTGCTTGGAGGAAGCAACTAGGTCATCTTCTGAGACACTTGTCACCTGGGGGGAGGAAAGAGGAAGGGAGCAGAGTTGGCCATCCCAAAACATGCCTCCTCGGGATATTGGTTATTTTAGGAGGAACTCTGAAAACCCAGTAGTCAGTTACCGCTGATAAAGGACGTCTACGTTTCTAAGGTGTCTGTCTCCCTTGTACCTGGCCTGCCTTCGCTATCAAGTGGAAAAAGTAGGGACTTAACTCTGCATAGCAGCCTTACCTTTGTTTACTGTGTTTTTCCTGTTAAACTTCCCACAACTGACTCTCCGCCCCCAATGTCTTTTGTCTTTAGCTGAAGGTAGTATTTACCCTGATGGCTTCGGCCATTTTGGCGAGTTACTTAGTGTTCCTGGGCCTCTCTCTCCCTTGTATACAGGCCATAGATGTGTTATTAAACTTCCATTTGTTTTCCTCCTGTTAATCTGCCTTATGTCAGTTTGGTTTGTACACCAGCCAGAAGGACCTCTAAAGGTAGGGGAAATTTTCCTCCCCCACACAACACTCACACTTGGCAAACACGAGGAAAGCGAGGTTGTTGTTAGGGTTGCTGAAGGAGGAACACGTGAAGCCAAAAGTGGTAAAGAATTACAGATTCATTACGTCATCTGGAAGCCCCACATGACCAGCACCCAGGGATGGGGACTCAGATTTTAAAGGACTCCGGCGGGCTTTTTCTGGGTGAAGAATACTCTGGGCCGGATGAGGGGAAAGCCCAGAGGGGAAGGGGAATGGTCTTAGCCAGTGGAATGTGGTCTAAGCAAAGGGGAATGCCAGGTGTGAAGAGATCGAAAGGTCAATTCTAGGGGAAGAGGGGAAGGGAGTTACCCATTCAGTTGTTTGATTGGACCTAACAGTTGTCAAATGTAACTAAGGGCTAGATTGTGTCACTAGGGTGAGGTTGCGTGATCTGGACCAAGGCTCTGGTGAGGAGTGAGCTGGGCCCCTAGAACTCCGGGACTTACTACGGGGGTGGTGGCCCAGAAAGTTGTTCTAGGCGGGAATTGTGTGAGCAAAGGCGGGGCGTGGGGGGGAGGTTCCGCCAGGAATGATGGGAACCGGGGTGGGGAGTGGGGGAGTGGGAGTGGGCAGAGATAGCTCCCCGGAGGGGAGGCCTCCGTCTGGGAGGGTGACCAGGAGTTCTGGGGTCCCTTCCAGTGGGGGAGCACCGCCCCAGGCAGAGGGGACAGCCCGGGTGAGGAAGGCCCGGTGGGTGAGGTTTAACACAGGGAGTTCTGTGTTGACACATGACGGGCAGAAGTGGGAGGTGAAGCTCAGCAAGGATGAGGGCAGTGGGGGAGGCAGCTTCCGGAAAGGGCTAGACTGGAGCTGCTGGAGGCATTAGGGCTTTAAGGAGGAGTTCTGTCCATCTGTTCAGGCTACACCAAAGTACCTTAGTCGGGTAGCTTGTAAGCAACAGAAATTTATACATCTCCCCCCGCCGGGTGCCTTTGGGGAGGGGGCAGCCCAACTTCTGGAGGCTGGGGGAGTCCAAGATCAGGGTGCCAATGGTAAGGGCCGGCTTCCTCATAGACAGCGACCTCTTCATAGAGTATCACCCCAAAAGCCTTACCTAATGTCACCTTGGAGGTTAGGATTCAACACATGAAATTGGGGGACACAAACATTCAGCCCGTAGGGGACCAGTCCTGGAGGGTTCCCATTCCCATTTATTTGTTTTTAAGTATATTTTTACTAATTTCAGAGAGAAGAAGGTAGAAGGAGAGATAAGCACACCCATGATGAGAGAGAATCATTGATTGGCTGCCTCCTGCATGCCCCCCACTGGGGACTGAGCCCGAAACACGGGCATGTGCCTTGAGTGGGCTTTGAACCATAATCTCCTGGTTCTTAGTCAAAGCTCAGCCACTGAGCCAAGCCAGCCAGTCCTCATTTGCCCTTAGAAAGGACTACAGCAGCCGAGATGGGGGAGACTGAAGGCAGTGACATAAAGAATAGTGACAATGTCTATTGCCAAAACCTGTTTGGCTCAGTGGATAGTGTCAGCCTACAGACTGAAAGGTCCCAGGTTCGATTCCAGTCAAGGGCATGAACCTTGGTTGCAGGCACATCCCCAGTAGGGAGTGTGCAAGAGGCAGCTGATCGATGTTTCTAACTCTCTATCTCTCTCCCTTCCTCTCTGTATAAAACCAATAAAATATATATATATATTTTTTAAAACTATTTAAAAAAAATAATAGCGACAGTGGCTATTAAGTGCTCACCCTGGCTCTGAGTCAGGCCTGGGCCAGTCACTTGACTTGCATCCTCACATTCAGTCCTCACGGCTCCCTGTGGAGGTGGACAGATGTGGGCTTAAAGGTGAAGTACTGTCCAGCCCAGTCCCCAGTGATTGGCTTCTGCTGTCAGGCCCAGGCCTGTCCGGTCCCAGAGCCCTCTCCATTACACTTAACGCTTATCTTGAGTCATAGGTCCATTCTGGACACTAATGATGATGGCAAACTACATCTTAGGGAGCTTCCTCCTTCCTCCTCCTCCTCCCTCCCCACCCCACGTGGCAGCTTCTTCCAGACATTGGAAAGAAAGAGTGGGTGCATTCATCCCTGCCCTTCCAGCGCCAAGAGCAGCTGAGCTGTTGCTGAGGTGGCGAGGGCAGGGGCGTGGGCGGGGGCCGCCTGACCAGAGCTGCCTGTCAGCGCGGGGAGTACAGCGGGAGGTCCGCCCTGGCCTCCGGAGCTGGAGCTGGGTCGCCTGTGTTCACCAGTTCACAGCCCACCTCCCTCAGGGCTTCCGGG